TGGGAGCTGGCAGATTCCACAATACAGAGTCATGTCAAAAATGGCCTCCTGCAAACTGTTCCTTCAAGCATTTGAGTCAACCGAAAGAGAGAAATCTTTCCCATTATTCACAGGAGTTTCACCTCCCTATTCCACAGCAGAGCAACATTTCCTATACATTCTGACACACAAGCATGTAAGAAGCTCAGAGAATAAATTGTACTCTGCAGCAGAGGGAAACTCCTCTCCCCACTTTCTGTTTCCAGTCCCAAAGTTGAGCCAGGCCTTTATTTTGACTGTTCCCTGGTCTGTGAATGGAAAATCCCTCCTCAGCACTAGCAGSCTGGTGTCTGCTGCACACACCCACTGCACACAGCAGAAATTCCAGTCAATAAGGCAAGTGGGGCCCAGGCGCTAGAAGGGGAGGAAGGAGACATACAAACAATAAGAAAAGCATCTGGCTCTGTTACTGGCTGGGAAGGAGACTGGAGTTCAAAAGAGACACAACTGCAGCCTTTACTTCACAGGAAGATCATATCAATTCTCGCTGCCCTACTTTTCACACAAACCAAAATATGTGGAAAGGGTAACTCGGGGTTTCCAGCCCACACTTTAATGCAATTCCATTAACTCAAGAACAGTGACGAAACCCACCTTGGACGTTTTTGTCCCACTGGACCAAATCATACCCCTGTTCCTGCTTTAGGCCTGTGGAAACAGCCCGAAAAAGTAAAGCCCTTTGCTGAATGTGAGCCAGCCATCCCTCCACCACCACACTAATGGAGGCTGCTCTGCTGTCCTTCCCTGGAGATAGCAGCCAAGTCTAGTGAAGCTTCTCTCATAGCAACCAGAGCTCCAGAGCCAACAGCAGCTGCTGTCACTGCCTTCAACGCTTACCCACAGGATCCAGAGCACAGCAACACCCTCCTCCCTGCACCTCTACAGCAAAAAAAAAAAAAAAAAATCCCAGAAGGCTGGCAACAAGATGACTTCCTGGGTCAACCACAAGAAGCAGAAAAAAAGAAATCCTAGTATTTCCTATACAAGTAAAAAGAGGAATCTCTAATTATTGAAAAAATAAGAAATTCCTTTTTTGAATTTAGATTCTGGCAGCAACACCCAGTCAGGGTGGGGGCAACAGCCTGAAATCCATAATGTACCAGCACACCATCAGATACCAGCATCAAGCTCTTCCCTCACCCAAGGAGAGGGAATCGCCCCCGCGGTACCCCCAACGCTCTCATTACATCATGGCCCGAGCCTGCAGCAGCCACGGGAGCCCTGCAGCATCCCGTGTCCTCTCCAGCCCCGCAGAATACCCCCTTCTCCCGAAAAAGCACACCCAGGATCTCGGCTGGTGTCAGAGGAACACAAGGACATGGCCGGGAAGGGGCTGCGAACCCCTCCTCGCTGCTACACCCATTTCCCCGCTTCCACAGGGCCACACGCGGCCTCGCCTCTCTCCCTCCCCGCGGGACGGCGAGACAACTGCCCGGCGCCGCTTCCCCACCCGGCCCGGCGGTGAACTCCGGTCACCGGCACCCAAGGACGAGCCGCCGGGCGACAGTGACCTTGCCGGTGCCGTCGCGGGTCGGAGCGGGGCCGGGGCGCAGGCAGGGCGGCGGGGAGCTCCCCCCGCGGCGGCCGTGACCGCGGTGACGGGCGAGGAAATGCGGGAGGATCCGCGCTGCAGCCGCCGGCGCCGGGAGAGGGGGTTACGGGAGAAGGCGCMGCACGGGCACCATGAGAAAGCAGAAAATGCAGGTCAAACACCGCCTCCCCCGAGACCTGGAGGGGCYGGCGGTTCGGGGAGGGCAGCCGCGGCCCGGAGGCTGCCCGAACCGGAGAACGACCCCCGCGGCCCCTCGGGACAATGCGGGGACACGGGGGCGCGGAGAAGGCCGGGCTGCAGTGGGGCTTCCTCGGCGCTCCCCTTCACCGACAAAGCCCCACGGCCGCTGCAGCCCCAACCCTGGCCCCGGCCGCGCACCGGCCACCAGCGTCCCGAGCCCGCGCACCGCCGGGCCCGCCATGATGCCCGTGCACCTCGCCGGGCCGGGTCAGCTCGGGCCGGACCTCCGGGGACACGGCGGTGCGCTGCCGACTAGGCTGCCGAGGCAGCGTAGAGCACAGCGTCAGGCCGCGGGCCGCGCCGGGAGCCCCCCGCAGCCGCCCGCCCAGMCGCCCGCCCTACCGTTCCCTCCCGCCGCCGGGTACGGCCGGTTCCCGCCCGCCCGCGCCTACCTGGCCGGCCCGTTCTCCGGGCCCCTGCGCGGCACCAGGCCCGGCTCGGCGCCACGGCGTGTCCCGGGCAGCCGGCAAGAGCGAGCGCTCGGCCGCGGCAGCGGCGGCCCCTCCCCCGGCGGCGGCGGCAGCTTCTCCCCGGGCCGGGCGGAAACGGCACTGGGCGCACGGGGATCCCCGGCGCCGGCGCCAGGGGCGCCCCGGGCACGCCCACCCCACTCCCCGTTGGCTGCCACGGCGCCGCGTCCCGCCCCGCCGGGGCACCCGCTGCCGCCATCG